TTCAATGCCAACAGTTATTTAGCTATTCATGTATTGAAGATTAACACAACAACCTTCGGTTGTGCTATTGTGTTAGTTGGAGCAACTTATTTCTTTACAAATGAAAATTATTGAACAATTCATTAAGGAATCCTTTATTGTTGATCTTGGAAATCTAATACAGCATCACTAGTGGGAAAAGTGTTCAAGTGCGAACTATTAATTTTCGTTCTGAGATTCTGCAGCAAAATTGATTACCTGAACCTACCATCGGAATTTAAGGCCTTTTTCAAATATTTCTTTTTCGACTTGATGTTAGAGTACAGTTTTAGTATTTGATCTTTCAAATCCTAGAGCTCATTGAGTTATGCTAAAGGGTGTATACATATATGAATTATACAGATTATGTTTATATTATTCTTTTTGCACACATTTATATGTACACAACATAATGTACAGTATGTATCATAAATATGCCAACCTCTTAAAATTTTAATAATTTAATTGAATTGAAATAAACTGTGTGCTATAATAAATGTTCGTAATATATAAGCGGCTCCGTTGATAAACCCGCAAAAAGAGCAGGGTAGAGTGATGGAATAGTACTTACATGAAATATTGTTTTTTAAATATGCCTTAAAAAGTATTATATATAATAATAATATCATATATAACATAAATAATATATATAAAATAAATATAGTATTATATATAACATCATAGAATATACTATTATAATGTAAATTTAATATAATGACATGTATTATATAATGTTTACGTATAATTGTAAACTGCTTAAAATACAGTCGTGGACAAATCATCTGGAGACCTTCTAAAACGAAATAATGTTTTTTAAAACTGGATCAGACGAGTTAAATTTTTTGAGATGTCAGTAGAACTAGTTTGCTAAGCAATGTGTAACAAATTTTTACAAAAACAGCAATTGGGTAAAATGACAAAGAAAATAAAAAATATCGTTTTTCAACTTTTTTATTTGAGCACACAACGAAAATTCAAATAAAGCATTTTTTTATATCTCGTAGCATATATTCATCCATCGTAGCAAATTCATTTATATAAAAATAACTAATAACTGGAACATGATAGAATCGCTAGATTTCTTATAGTTTTTGATCGAAAGTCATGAAAAACTTCGATTTCGACAAACTGTAATTGTTTGTAGCTCACGGCAATGTTAATCAATTTCAACGAAATAAAAGACAATGTTTTATGTGCTTCAAATGTTTGTTATGGGCTCAGAGAGATAAGAAAAGTTTAAAAACATGATTTTAATTTTTGTTATCATTCCACCCAGTTGCAGTGTTTGTAAAATTGTTTACGCAATGTTTGGTAAACTAACCCCCTTACTTTCATAAAAAGAAATCATATCGTTCGGTCCAATTTTAGAAAAGTTATTTTGCTTTAAAAGGCGTCCACATACAGGGTAAACCACGGAACGTGATCAGCATAATTTATTCTGCTGCGAGTTGTTCGATTGAAAATTTGTTCAACTAAAATTACATGGTTTAAGGAGAATTTTAAGATGATTGTACCAAATTTTTTGTCAACCCTTTCTTTCCAGAGTTGTTAAAATTTTTGTGTAGATAACCTACAACTGTTTTTACATTCGCTTTTGCGAATACTTGTCGAATTCGTCTTAGCATTCCCTAAAAAATGTGTACAAAAAATTCCTTAAGTATGTTATTTTAGCTAAAAAAACTTCTAATCGAACCACTAGCAGCAGAATAAATTAAGCTTATCACGTTCCATGCTCCACCCTGTATATTTGTCCACGTTCGTATATATGTACGGGGTGGTCCACCGAAACGTTTCAATATACACAAGTATCTTCTCTAACAGTGATGTCACTAAAAATTTTCTTACGTGGAATTTCACTGCTATTAGGAGACGAAATCACGCAAAAGTAGTTCTTTAATTTGTATACAGGTGCGTATTTTTTTATTAGATCGTTTAGCTGATGTTAAAACCATTCAGACATGTATGATGATTTGATCTTGAAACGATGCAATAAAAAAATATGCACTTACATGCAAATCAACATGTCCTTGAATAAAAATACTTTTGCATGCTACTCGCCTGTTTATAACAGTTATTAGGTGAATTAACAGATATTTAGGTGAAAACATTTAAGTGGACCACCTTGTATATTGTATAAAAATTAATTATCAATATTCTACAACTAATGAAATATTTGTTATTTCTTGATGTTAAGCTCAACATTAAAGAACTGTATATTGAGTTGTTACATTCTACCCCACTATTCTATGGCTTCTTTTTATTATTATAATTACTACTCTTACTGCGATAATCATCATTTATCATTGGTAATATTATATTGTATACCAACATCATCTCATCATCTTCTTACCAAATATCTCAAAATGTTTTACAAACCTATGATTTCCTTTGTATGACCACGTTATCTTCAGAACACTGACTTTTTACTATACTAACCCTTACAATTCCAAATCCCTCACCACTAAAGTTAAAATCTATATGTATACATCATTTCCCTCAAATCATCAGATTCCTTCTGAATGCACACCTAACAAGTTCTATTGCATCCTTAATACGCTTAAGAGATCCTTACTGAACCACAGAACTATTAACGTCAACCACACTCGTGGGATCTATTTAAGCAAGTCTTATGAAAGTCTCCACTAGGAACAAAAACCTGTTACATTTTTGAGAAACTCTCCCGTTGTATTGTGGTGACATAAGAATCGATCAAAGTAAGAGTCAATTAAGTGTTTAGACAAGAACATTTTTCAAGATTCTCTAAAGTAGAGTTAATCGAACGTCCCCTATATAAATATAATAAAAATAAATGGTAGTAACAATATCGTTGATATGTTCTAATAACTGTTTAAAAAAATGAAAATATTGTTTAAGCAGTGCAGTTATATTAATATATCAGATGTTAAGAAAAATAATTTTACGTTATTTGACATACGCAGAAAGAAATGTAAAATAATTTATTATATTGTCATCACCACGAATTGAATAGTAAATTCGTGCAAAATATGGTAAAACTAGAATATTATTTTTCAAAAATCAGTATAAAATATGGACTGACTTATGTCGAAACGACAGAGTAACCTATGTCAAAATTAAATATAATGTTTTCAAATACCGATCTGACTTATATGCATATACATTTTCTCTGTATCTGTACATATATACATATACATATAGTTGCATTAGCAAGTCTTGTTTTCTTATCAGTGGATTAGTCTTAATGGCATTATAGATGTTAGTTTTGGGTTCACAGAAATGTGGTTATCAGAAAATCCATCTGTCATTACTACTTATTGATGCATTTAATCTATGGTCCATTTTATGGTAATTGAGGTAACAAAGAGAATTCATTTCTCACCGTGAGTATGCATTTTGATAACATAGTTTACACTTGCGTTTTCAAAAAAGAACAATTTCACACATTATCGTCTCCAATTATGACACAGAAAGTCATTGTTTTTAATCTGTGAGAAAATTCTTTTTGAAACATGACAATAAAGTAAATGAATAATTATTCCCAATGCTGGTAATAACATTAAAACCTGGTGTTTTCCTTGTTTTATAGAAACTAAAATACTAATTTCATTTATATGCTTGGAAGTATTTTTATTATATACAGTTACTCATTAAATATTTGAACACCCTTTAAAACCAAATAAATTTCTAGAAATTAATCCATATTATGTTTAAATTGTCGTTCTAGGTTCTGAAAAAAATGTTTAAAAGTATGAGTTTTTTATTTTATGTGTTATTTCAACTAATTGTAATATTTGTAAAAAAGTTTTTAGACGTTGTTTACTAGACTAGTTTCTCTCACGTCTCAAAAATAATTCAAGTCACTTGGTCCTGTTATATGTCGAACTGTGAAGAATTTTACAGTGGAGGTTAGGATTTATGTATTCACTGGTTTTGCTTCTACGGTGTTATTACAGACCAGGGACGCACGTGTTTACTTTACTAAATCCTCTTCTAGACTCTATTACGCGCTACTCGTACACGCAAGCACGCAATATCGTAGGTAAATCCTGATATCAGTTCTATCTATAGTATCTCCATATTTATCTACTAGATGCTATATACACTCTCCTCCGAAAGTATTAGCATACTCTTTAAAATCTTTCAACTCTTGTAATTTGACTCTGTATTAACTGATTTCGATGAAAATTTCAGCATGCATATAAATTACCGAGATCTACGAAATGCATTTTTTAAATTTTCGTTATGGGCTTACATAAAAAAGTTGAAAAAACAGCATTTTCGTCATTCCTTTATTATGCCAACAAATTGCATTTTTTAAAATAATGTTTTACCCATTGTTTAGTAAACTAATCACTCTAACATCTCCCAAAAAGTTTAGATCGCTTGGCCTAATTCTTAAAAAGTTATTCCGTTTTAAAAGTTGTACGAATACTTTCTACACCCACTGTATCTCATTACACTCTCAAAGCTAAAAATTTTCTTTCGTTTCTATCGGCTAGAAACGGAGTCAGTTGTAAGTGATATAATTGATGGAATTATAATTTTCTATTTTGACACCAGGAAAAAATGATTAAATATAACACATTCTTTTGGTGGAATCAACGTAATATCTACGGGTATATAGTAAGGAACAAAACTGAACACACATACAACATTTTAACAAAATAATTTTTTGTTCAATATTTACGTGTAGAATACAAAAGAAACAATATACTTAGTATTATCTACTGTCTTCTGGCTTTTCAAAACAAATTTAACATTTGTGATATCATTATTATTTCGCTTGTACAATTCTTTTTCGTGTAGTCTTGAGTAAACTTGAGTAAGCTTGAGTAAACATTTCAGTTTTTGGCACACTTAATATTTCATCCATAAACCTTTAACCTTGATAATTGTTTGAATAAACATGTATTTCCACAATACTCTGGTGCAATAGAATACCATTGTTCCTGCACTCTTTGCCACAAATCAGTTGTCGTTGTTGGGGGAGCATTATATTTATTTTATAACTTCATTTTTAAGTATGACCAGACATTTTCAATCGGGTTTATATCTGGGTTTTGAGCAGGCCATTCCATGATTTGAGATGGTTGAGTTTGTAGCCAATTCTTCACGCTCTTCGCACAATGACCAGGAACGTTGTCATGTTGGAACACAACATCACGCTCTGGTACCGAGATATTTTCAATTGTATCTAGTCAATTTTTGTCTAAAATATCTTTATACGCATACTGGCTCACCGTACTTTCTATTCGATGTAATGAACCCACACCGTACGTCGTAATGCACCCCCACACCATAAGTGAACCACCACCAAATTTCATTGTTTGCGTCACACGATACCAAGAACGTCCATCTGATGAAATTCGAATATTTTTAGATTTGTCGGAAAAAATTTCTTTCTTCCATTGCTCCATATACCAGCCTAAATATTTTCTTGCAGAATTCACACGGGCCTTGACATCTTTTTTTCATAGAGTAGATTATTTTTCTTTTCAGTTGTTGTAAAATTGGCTTCTTCTAATGTTTTTCGAGCTGTCCAGTTACTAATTTTCTTTCCATCATCGCTTTCTAATAGCTTTGCAGTCATTGATGCAGTCGTTGTAATTTCTGAAGTAATGTATCTTGTCGATCTTCTCTTATTCTGAAAAGATAATAATTTTGTACGGCCTCGAAAAGATACAAGGATTTCATTACAATATTTTTTTCGTATTTTATGTATGATTTCCTGACTAACAGCAAATTTTCTAGCAATTACTCGTGTTGATAAACCTAATCTTAGTTGGAATGGTTTCATGACGTTGTGTTGATGTATGTTACTCCGCGAACAACAATAAACTAATAACTACTACATTCCTAGCCAGGGCATTGACCGTTTACAAAATTTATTGTTGAAATATTAGCCTCGAACAAAAATTAATCTATAGTTTACTTAGTAAGATATCTTCAGTTAAGATATCGGTTTACATTTCGCCGGCTCCGTCAGCGGGCAGCGACGGTGACGGAATCTGTATATATTAGATGCCGCGATACATCATCGCCGGTACCTTTTGATGTACATCGTGCCCTGACCGTCACGTATACAATGTAAGACGCGACAAATAAAACGTCTCTGATTGGTGGACACGACGAACCCAAAAAGAGTATAAAAGAAGCGTTTCTTCTTACCGGGACCTTAGTAGAGTTTGATCGCTCGATCTGTTTCGCTCATATACCTTCTCTCATTAAGAGAATAAAATAAAGTCCTTTTAAGCAAAGTATTAGAATCATATTCATTTTCATTCCATAATCCCAACATTT